TAAATCGCTTAGAATCTCGCCCTCTTTCATAATCCTAGCTTAGTTCTTAGTGGGGAGCTTTGTGTGGTGAGATATTTCCCCTAAAAAATTTGGCCCTTTGGAGAAATTGAGGTGTTTGAGAGTTTCTACCTCCATGGAAGCTTGAGGTGCCATCAATCCTTGGTTGTATGACCATTGGTGGTAAGATTCTAACCCTTGAACCATGTTTTCTTGGAAATTTCATGATATAGGGTTTTGAATGAATAGTGTTATGGGTTTTGTGAGAATTTGAGTAAATTGGCTATGTTGTGGTAGAATTGAGACTTAGCACATGTTGAGAAAAATACTAGGAATGTCATTTAATCGGTGAAAATGAGCCTAGTTAGTTAAATGACTAAACTTGGTATATTGCAAGATTATCTTGCTTGTTGAAGAGTTTTCTTGCAATTATGATCAATGGTTTGGCTTGGTTGATTGATGATTGTGTCCTTGTGATGTCTAGGATTGAGACATTTGGACCAACCGTGAGTGATCAACCATTGGAGCAAGCTATGAAGCTTGATTAGCTCTTTGGAATAGGTGAGCTCATGCTAAGTTAATATGTAGAGTTGATGTGGTAGTAAAGGATATAAGTAAATATTCATTGGATAGTATGATTGATGCTATGGCACCTTGGTGTAGGTGTGTTACTTGTAAGTCATTGGTATGTTGCATGACGATGCGTAAATCATACTTGGTAGTTAGCTGGCCAGTAGGACTATTTGCATCTGAGTTTCCTTAGGACAGCTTGAGAGCTCGAGGGATTTCTCCTGGAGATGTTATTGCACTTTGCATAGATATGTATTTACTGCATTATTATTGTTATTGCTATTACACTGATATGGAACTGTGGGGTGGAGAGATGCTCCAAGGACCCCTGGTTTACTGGATATATTCGTATATCTCACCCCGTGTTGTGGGGACCCCCTTTCAGGTAAGGAAGCTGCAGGAGCCTCTGATGGCAAGTGGCCTTACTTGCAGTAGATCATGCATGAAGAAAATGATGTTTTGAGATCATACATGTTATTTTGTAGATTTACATGTATAGGATTGATCATTGATAGCATTGACGTATGTATATCTCGTTATATTTGATGGACTTAGCCTATGATCATGCCATTGGATATCTCTTTTGTTGATGAGAGCCAAGGGATGATGATAGCCTTTTGTAGCTAAGTTCCCCGTTATGTAATTAAACTTGTATTAATGCTATTTACTTCAAGGTTATGAATGCATGATGAATATTGGATTGTTGAGCTGGAAATTATATTAGGTACCTAATGCTAAATTGGGAAATGTTGAGAAAACAAAGACATCCTGTCTGGTTGACCAATTTTCATACCCAATGTGATAGAATTGGACTTTGATGTCTATATGGAATTTGTAGACATTTCTCTTAGCTTTCCATAGAGACCAAAATGGTGTAATTTGAGTGAATATAGCTCAAGTTATGAGTGGAAAACCATAGGTAGGTTAAATGACCTTGTTTTAGGTCACCCAGCCCTGTGGATGGCGCCTGGGGCGCCAGATTCACGCTTGGGGCGCCAAATTACAGAACCAGAGAGTAGCATCCACGCTGAGGGCGCCAACTTTCTGTTTTCCCACGCTCTGGGCGTGGATCCCACGCTACGGGCGCTTCTGGAGATTTCGCACCCTTTTCTTAAAAAATGCATAACTTTGGCTACGGTGCTCCGATTTGAGCGCGGTTTGAACCATCGTGTAGCTAATGAAAAATCCTATAACATAGCAGAAGATGGGAATCATAAAAGGAGTTTAGAATTAATTTGATAATTAAAGTGATGAAGACATTTAACGACGTATTGTAAAGTAGAATGGGAATATAATATTAAGTTTAGTCCCACTATTCCGCGAAGTATATATAGTTATGATCACGCACTTGGTTATTTAAATCCGGCTTGTTTAAAAAGGAAAAAATTTATCCGGTTTTCTAATTGAACCAATGTGATTGTAACTGCGCTTAATGCCGTATGCAATGATAACAATCTGGTTCTAGAACGGGGTGTTACATATATATATATATATATATATATATATATATATATATATAGGGTCAGAATCATTTTACACCGGTGTAAGTTACACTCTTAATCAAGATCCAACCAATTAATTATATATATAGGGGAATGATATATTTATCACCAAAAAAGTTTACAACTTTTACAATCAACTTAATCATTATTGATTTCCGTCAACTGAACGGTTATAATTTATTGGAAATTATTGAGTCACATTTATTAATTAATTATTAATTCTCATAAATTATAACCGTTAGATTGACGGAAATCAACGGTGATCAGATTGGTTGTAAATGTTGTAAACTTTTTTGGTGATAAATATATCCTTCCTCATATATGTATATATATATATATATGTATATATATATATATATATATATATATATATATATATATATATATATATATATATATATATAACTTTAATATTTATGCAGATAAGTTATCTATATTTACTTTCAGAACGACATCGTTTTTGCATTGAAAGATTAAAAAATTATAAATTATAATCTTAAAATAAATTATAATTACAAAAATACCTTGGTTTCCATCCAAAATGACGTTGTTTTGGGCTCAATATAGATAAGTTACCTATATTGACGGTAGAAAAAATGAACTATATATATATGTGTGTGTGGGTTTTTTTCTATAGTCAATGTAGATAAGTTATCTAAATTGAATCCAAAGCGACGTCGTTTTGAGGCGGAAATTAAGGTATTTTTATAATTATAATTTATTTTAGGAAAAAATATTTCTGCAATTGGTGCAGATAAGTTATCTGTATTTATTCACAAAACGACGTCGTTTTGGTATCGAAATCTTAAAAAATTATAAATATAAAGACTATTATAATCCTGAAATAAATTAAAATTACAAAAATACCATAATTTTCGTCACAAAACGACGTCGTATTAGGCTTACTGCAGATAACTTATATGCAGTAACGGCAGAAAAGGCGAATCCTTTATTTTATGATTACAATAATTTTTTTATTATAATTTTTTAATTTTTCTACTTAAAATGACATTATTTTCAGAACGAATATAAATAATAGAATCGTTAAAGCCATATCTATACGTGTGTGTGACATTTCATATTCAGCATGGGAAATTAAAAGACATATTAATATTTCAACAGGTTCGCCCACTATTCTTATCTCATTTCATAATCATGACGATGGCTGGGCTTCTTTAATTTCTTTCTATCCTTCAGCCCACTGGTATACTTCTCTCACTTGGGCCTTCATTACCATAATAGTCCGTTACAATACTATTCTTATTTGGGTTCACTAAAGTACGATCATACCTTTCCTGAAACTGAGCTCTTTGCCACGTAAAAGGGGGACCATTATGTCCAAGATCCGAAAGGTTGCATTAATCCTGGAAAATGGAAATCATGCATACCGTTCCAGCAAAAACTACTGCTCTGGACACGTTAATTCTAAAAAATGTTAAATTTCGACACATTAGGACACGTTTTGATATTAAATAATATTTTTAATTTGTGTAGTGTATATTATATTAAATATTCAATAATTTAATAAAAAATGAAACTAAACTTATAATATTCATCAGTTTTGCAAAGAAACATAAGATATCAGCACCACTAGGGATAGCCTAGTGGTGTTGGGTGTGTTTAGTGTGTATTAGGTGTACGGTTCGATTCCCTGTAATGTCCAAAAAAAAAAAAAACATAAGATATCTCAAATATTTATATTAAACTTAATATAATGGTAATCGTAATCCAATAAATCTAATAGTTGGAACTAAAAACTTAACGCAACGCAACCTTTAAACCTTTTTTTGAATTTCTATAACGCGTATTGAAGTGTTGAGAAGTGTCGGAATGTCGAAGAGTGTCGAGAAGTGTCAGACTCGACACGTCAGGATTTTAGAAATGTCGGTGCTTCGTAGATAATGAAAATAAGCATTAAAATCTCCGATTAGATTCTAAGGGCCAGATATACACGAATTAATATGGGCCATACTATCCCAGAAATGACTCCTGTCCAGTCTTTTAGAGCTTCCATACCTCAATATTATTCTCCTCAGACCACGCTAGTTTGGTATGAATTAAAAATAAAAAGGTTCCTTAACCTGTATTTTAAAAATATGTCAACGAAACTTTATATTTGATAATTTGATTTGATTTGATTTGATTTTTATTATTATTTAATTTAATTTTAAGATAATTGGGTGTTACAATAAAGTTTTATAAGAATTACCTCTTAAGTTACAACCTGAGATTCCACATAAATAAATTAAATATTAGAAGTCTTAAAAATATAATATATAAACACACACAAAATATATAAGTAAAAGCCAAAAATATCCCCTCATACGGAAGCGCAGTCTGTTAATGCACTATTTTCGTGCAAAAATGCTACCTGAGTATTTACTAAAAAAAAACTACTTGAAAAACTTTCGGGTTTAATTTTAATAAAATAATATTTACACAAATTTATTGAATTTTCATTAATTGCTTGTATGCAGATACTGATGTAATTTAGCAAAATTTGAAAATAAATTTAATAATATAAAAAATAACGTAAGCTTTTTTATATATAAAAAGAGATGTATGATTAATATTAATAATTTCCAAAACATTTGTTGCACACTCTTAATTTAAACCAACAAGTTAATTGAGTACCCTATTAGTGCAGACTTTTTTTTTTTTTTTTTTGGATAATTCATGCAAAATCTAACTCATGCAACTTCCGGTATGAATCGTATGATAGCTTACCAACCCAAGAAAAGTGAAGAAAACTTATACCAATTTAATTTGAAACATCCTCTTAATTTATGTAGATTTAATGGTCACTAATAGAATCTCTCAGTTACTTTCAGCTCCATTTACCTTAACAAACTGTTTACTTCATCATCTCCCATATATAGCATAACAAACCCCAAAGTGAATCACAGCCAGCACTGCATACAACAAATTAATATGGATTATTCTTTAGGAATTTTCACCTTTTTGCTTTCAGTTACATTAGTAACATCTCTTTCCAGTTCCCAACTATCAAACATGAAAGTAACTAAAGAACAAATGAAAGTGATTTGTTCTAGATCACTAGATCCTCCATATTGTTTGTGCAATTTAAATTTGAACTCTCGTATTGACAAGTCAAACATTCAAGCACTTGCTAAGAGTACTATCCATTTGGCTCGTGTCTATGCAAATAAAACCTATACTGTAATTGATTCCATCATTAATATCATTGGTGAACCCAAAGTGATCGAGAAGTACCAGTTATGTGCACAGAATTACAAGGAAGTTATTGCTCGACTCATTGAAGTAGATAGATACTTAGCCTCTGGTGACTATCGTAAAATGAGAATTGAAATATTTAGTGCCATTGAAAAAGCACAGACATGTGAAGAAAAAGTGGACGAAACTTCCAAAACTATAACGCCAATACATGACAACAACTTGGATTTCATACGCAAGTGCAGCATCATTTGGTCTATCTCAAATCACTTACCGTGATAATATGGAATTTTAAACTATGGATCAGTTGTTAGTATTAATTATATGGGTAAATTTTGATGAATAATTATTTTGGAGTATTAAGTTCAAATCCGTTGTGAAGTTTTTTTTCCCCTTACGTATTATTATACCTAGGGTGTACAACCTTATTTTTTTTTAATTTCTGTTCTCGGGCACATAAATTGATATAAAACTGGTTTCATAAAATTGGTTTATTTTTGTTATTTTCGGGATAAACTAGTTTAATTTTTGTGTTAGGGAACAGAAAAAAGAATTAAAAAATTTCTGTTTTTTTTTCCTGGCACAAAATGATAAAAACTTATCACTCTCAATTACTCTCCACATCTATCATCATCACCACCACCACCATCCCGACACGACCACCCCCACCATTGTCGTCCCTGTTTTCATCGTACCACTGGTGTCGTCTTCATCACCATCGCCACCACCTCCACCCATAACCACCACTACCACTATCATTACCATTACCATCACTACCACTGTCGCCGTCACCAACCACTACCACTATCATCGCAACCACTGCCCTCACTGCCCCTGCTACCACCACCACCACCATCGTCACCACTACCACCACCACGATGCCACCATCACCTCCACCATCACCAACCACCACTATCATCGCTGCAGCCACTGCCTTCACCACCACCACCACCACCACCACCACCACTACCACACCATCACCATCGTCATTACTACTGTCGCCACTAGCCACCACTATGTCATTACCACCACCATCGCCGCAACTACTGTCGTCACCACCACCATTATCATGCCATCTCCATAACCACTATCGTCACCACGTCATTGCTGCAGCCACCTCCATTACCACCACCACGCCGCTGCCGATGCCGACGCCGCCGCTGCCACCACACCATATGGAAAGGAAAGTGATGATCCAAAAATTTTATGTTTAATAGGAATTATTTTTTATTATATTATTTGTTGTGTTATCAACAAAATTCTTATTTTCAGAATAAAAATAAATCATGTTATGGTCTCTCAAAGTTAGGGTACAATCTCACTGTTTTTTCTAAAAATTTCGACAGAGTCTCTTTTGTTTTTACAACTTTTTCCCACTTTATACAAGTGTGTTCCAATACTCAAAAATAGTACCTAATAGACCAAAATGGCGGCATCCAAAGGATCAACAAACCTTGGTGCACTTACAACCCACAATATACATTAATTCCTCTCATTACTTTTCATACACAATGTCCCATTGCCATTCATTATAATTAAACATTATTAATAACTATAATAGGCTTTAGGCCCTTCCATCACTTACATCAATATTTACATATGCAAAGTTCTCCAATAATACAATTACATTACATCAACTATCAAATTTAACAATTACATGATCAACATAATATCAAATGACCTAGACACAAAAGCATGAGCAACTCTAAGTAATAGACCTCTAGTTTATCTTGTTTTTATAGGTTAAATTAATATAAATTATCAAGTTGAACAAGTCAAAAACTAGGGTTTTAACATAAAATCATGAACATTATCTTATTATGAATTAAATAAATTATATTTGCTAGTTTGTAGGGATTTGATGTCAAAAGAAAACAAATATGAAGATATGGATAGATGGAGAGCAAAAACAAAAGATTTGAAGATCTTATCAAGATTATCAAGTTGTTAAAGAGGAGGCTTAAGCCCCCACATTGAGGCTTAAGCCCTCTAGAAGTCCAGAAATCCAAATCAAAGAGCAAGTGGCCCCTGCCTTTGGATGCTTAAGCTCCCATTAGGAAGCTAAAGCCTCCTAAATATGCAAATCTTCTCGGCCTATGGGCGCTTAAGCCCCCAACTCAGGGCTTAAGCGCGCTGTAAACTAGAAGTTCCAGCTCGAAGAGCGCGCTTAAGCGCACTCCAGCGCGCTTAATCGCGCCAATTTGATTTTTCATGCAATTCTTAACAGGCTTAAGCGCGCCCCAGCAAGCTTAAGCGCGAACGTTAATTTTGAATTCGTAAATCAAGAAGCTTAAGCGCGAATGAGCAAGCTTAAGCGACCCATAAACCCAACTTAGGCCCAATTTGAGTTATTCACTTAAGGCAAGATTCTTGGCCACTAAAAAGACATCTTGGGGTCAGAATTATCGGTTTTTGATATTCCTAAACAATTCTTGGTGCTTGGAGGCAGAGGGAAGGCGGAGAAACACCCAGTTCATGTTCGTGAGTGGCGGAGACGGATCAACATCAAGTCTGCACTGGGGATATTGAAGATTCACCAATCATCTATGGAGTTTGGGGGAGCTTTTATATTTTCTTTCGTTCTTGATATTGCTATGTATGGCTAGATTCTTTAGTAGTTAGGGTTAGATGGAATTTAATCAATTTATTATGCTTTGAACAATTCGCTATGTCAATTTTCCTTTCTGTCATGAATGAAATTTTTTATTCTTAATGCTTTATATAGGCTTGAATCTTATATATTGATCTTAGGTAAATGCATGACAATATGGATGTTGGTGTGTGATCCATATCTGATAATTTCATCGTAAATGTTATGATTCTAGGGATAGACATAGGGTTTGCGTAATCTTAATGATTCTTGAACTTAATGCTTACCTTCTTGGAGAAAAACCGGGGAACTAGGGTTCTTGGAAGATTGTGAAGGTTTAGGGTAACAAGGGATTGAGCCCTAATTACATAAGAAAGAATTGATTAGATTGATATTAAGGACGATTAACATAAAGAAGGAATTCAAACGTAATAAAGAGATTAAAAGAAATCGAAACCCGAGCTACGTTCTTTTAATTTAGTTAATTCACATCTTTAATTTCTTGCTTTTATTCTTGATATTCATTAAAGTGAAATCATGTTTTTAAATTCTTATTTTAATTATTGCGATTAATTAGTTTTAATATTCCAAAGTTCGAATTCAAATCCTGTTTCAAATACAATTTTGATTGTTCAACTAAATTTGCAATAGTGAATTAGTTCTTGAGTATAATCCTCGTGGGAACGATCTCTTATTCAATCATTATATTACTTGTACGATCGGTGCACTTGCCGTGAGTCGCAACAAGTTTTTGGCGCCGTTGCCGGGGATTATTACTTCAACATTAATAGTAGCTATTAATTCTTTAGATTGGACCTTATTTTCTGCTATTTAATTTTTGTTATTTAAATTCAATTTTTATTTTTTATTTATATAATCTATTTTTTGGTTTATGCGTAGTACCGTTGACACCGATTCCTTGCAATTCGACCCGGAGATAGAGAAAACAGCAAAAAAAAAACAAAAAGATCGCCAAAGAAATAAAGTAGAAAGAGAAAGAAGCCTCAAGCTCAACAGAACCAAGAGAAGAAGCAATGGGAGACAACAATGGACCTCCACCACCTCCGAGAACATTGGGAGATTACATGACTCCCGCTCGAGTTCCTCAGACGGCGAGCATTGTTAGACCAAACGTGGATGCTAACAATTTTGAACTCAAGCCTGCATTATTGCAATTGATTCAGAAAGATCAATTTGCCGAGACCCCTGCAGTCATCTTGAAGATTTTCTATTTTACTGTGATACACTGAAGATGAACGGAGTCTCTCGTGATGCCATCTTGCTCAGACTCTTTCCATGCTCACTAAAGGAAGAAGCAAGAGTTTGGCTGCAGTCACTACCTCAAGGAAGTATCACTAGCTGTGATGACTTAGCTACAAAGTTCTTGGCCAGATTTTTCTCGTCTTCGAAAACGGCAAAGCTCAAGGCGGATATCACTTCTTTTGAACAAAAAGAAAGTGAGTCTTTATATGAAGCATGGGAAAGGTTTAAGGGACTACTCAGGAAATGTCCACAGCACGGTATTGAAGCTTGGGATAAAGCGCAAATTTTCTTTCAAGGAATGATGTCGAACACCAGAACCTTAGTTAATGCTGCAGCAGGAGGATCTTTGAAAACAAAAACTCTAGAAGAAGCTTCGGAATTGCTAGAATCTCTAGCATCTCAGGAGTTTGATAATGCTCCAGTATCACAAAGGAGAGCAAAGATTATGAAGCTAGAAGGCTATGATGCCATCTTAGCTCAGAATGAGCAGATTTTACAATTTAACAAGAAACAGCAACAACAGCTAGATGCTCTAACAAAACAGTTCACAGAGTTTCAAGTTTCTTCAGTTAACACTCAAGTTTCTTTTGTTAATACTCCTTATGTTACTTGTGGTTTATGTGCAGGTGTTCATGCTACTGAAGATTGTGATTTCATTAAGACAACTGAGAATGCTGAAGTTAATGGAATCTGACATGATCAAAAGGTTCCATATAATTCTGGAAGGAACCAATACGGGAATAACCAGAATCAAGGGTGGAAGAATCAAAATCAACACCCGTGATTTAGTTACAAGTCAAACCATCAACTGAATCCTCCTATACCAGTGCAACAGCAGCCTCCTCAACAAGGAAACACATCAGAGTAGGAGAAGGCCTTTGCACAGCTGTCCAAGACCACGTCAGATTACATTCAGAATTCCAATGCTTTCAGAGAAGATACTTCAGCCTTTATGCAAGAGACAAGGGCCTCATTCCGGAATCAAGAAGCTTCTATCTAGAATCTTGAAACTCAGATTGGCCAGCTGTCAAGGCAGTTCACTGAAAGAGTTCAAGGAACCTTTCCAGGTAACATTATTCGAAATCCAAGTAGGGAACACTGCAATGCAATTACTACTATGAGTGAGAAAGCCATTGAACCTATGGTAAAGCCTTCAGTTGAGAAAAAGAAAGATGATGAACCTGCAACTGAAAAGGAAAAAGAAAAGGAAGTTGCTAAAGAATCTGCTGCAGAGAAAACTGTTCCTGAAAAGAAAGAGTTCAAATGGGAGAAAAAGAAAGCTCAAGAAAGGCAAGAAAAGCCATTGGAGCTCTCACCTTATGCAAAAATTCCATATCCACAGAGGTTCAGAGAAGAAATTCAAAAGCAACAGTACTCCAGGTTCCTTGATATTTTCAAGAAGCTGCAAATCAATATCCCGTTTGCT